ACCGAACTTTCGAATCATGTTTTGATTAGTAGACCTAAACTTATTCTTTTAAGAACCCTTAGTCAAGTTTTACAATAACTACATTTGAGAAAGATTATACATAGTTTTTCATTGAAAAAAAATACTAAAACTATATTCGTGTATGTAAAATCGGAGATTTTGTTAAAAAATTTCAAACAATATGTTTTTAAGAAATGAAACGTAGCAAATAATAATATCTTAAAAATGCAAACACCATATTTTTAATATAAGAAATGTAGTTTTTAATTAAAACGTTCAAACATTAATGTTATATATAAATTTTATGCTCTATGTTTTTATGTAGGAAACATAGTTTTTTTAGAAAAACCTATTCTCTTAATTGTATACCTTCCATCCATCCATTTAAATAAAAAAATCCCACAGTCTACAAACCCAGACAAATATCTCCATTATAATTCATCAACTAGCAACAAAAAGTACGATCGATTACAATTCTTTATACAATGGAAATAGCAACAATCTATAGGAACAACCTTTATTTATCATGCTTTTATTTGTTTTTTTTTTCTTTTTTTTTACTTATTGTTATAATTCTAATGTTTAAAATAGATTGATAATTTGTTTATAAAGCTTTTCCCCTTTTAAATTTAATTTTACATTTAAAATTGTATTTCTCTACATTCATCATGTTATCCACACAAATTTGACTTTTTCTTTCTTTAATTTTTTCATTTTTTTCAACCTTTTTTTTTTCTAAAGAACGTTCAAGGTCACTCTATTTTTTTTTCTCAAAACAGTTATCAACATTAATCTTCAACTACTTTATATTTTACATCACCAATTATATATTTAATTTTTTTTTAATGTTATGTTATATTTGCTTTGACTGCTTAAAAAAAAATGTACTTACAACAACACGCAGGCACAACGCTAGTTATATAAATAAATGCATAAATAAATCAATAAATAATTATAAAAATATCAATTTTAATATAAAATAAAATATATCAAAATAAAATTTTAAAAATTATAAATATCAGTAAAAGTAAAATATAAAAATAATTTACTAATATATTTTAATTTCACAACTGCAACTCAAATCTCACAACTAGTATCAATATCTTTCGAATCGCATTTGTCTACAGTAAGATTACAATATATCAACTTTATTTTAAGGTCATGAGATATCATAATATCTCATGATATATCATAATAAATTGTAAAAATAATATAACTTAAAAAAATAAAAAAAGGTTAACAAGTGAATATTAAAAAAAGTATAAATAATTTTATTTAATTTATTAATTTAACAAATAAAAAATGATATACTTTTTAATTTTATAATATCAATTATTTTATGAAATCAACTTAATTAATTATATTTACCAATATATTTTTATACTTTTTTTATCATTACATTTAGAATTATTAAAGCCTTTTTCGAGGATAAGACATTTTAAACTCATTTTATATCTAACGATATGAATTTTATGATAATTTTTATCTTTTTACGTTAATAATTTTTTTATTTAGAATCTTTTAATTTAAAAATATCTTAAGGTATTACAATATCAAATTATATCAATTTTATAATTTTTTTCATTTGTAAAAATGTTTTACATTAACTTTTTTTAGTTTGAAATTATTTTTTATTTATAATAATAATTTTTTTACATTATGAATTTAATTATTTACATTATAATAATATGTTTTTGTACTTGTTCTTATCTTTTATTATGTTTAGAATTATCATAACTTTTGTCTTAAGATGTTACAACACTTCTAATATACTTTATGTCAAATTATATAAATTTTATAATTATTCTCACATTTTTACGTAAATACTTATTTTTTTATTGAGGTTTTTTATTTATTTATAATGATAATTCTTTTATGTTATCAACTTAATTATTTATGTTAAAAAATAGTTTTTATGCTTGTTCTTATAATTCATTACGTTTAAAATTATTATAACTTTTTCGTAGGGTGTTATGATAGTTCTAACCTATTTTACACCAAATGATATTAATTTTACGACTATTTTCACATTTTTATGTTATGATACTTTTAACATATTTTATGTTAAATTATACCAATTTAAAGATTATTCTCATATTTTTACATTAACATTTACTTTTAGGTTTAGAATTATTTTTTATTTATAATAATAATTTTTTATATTGTCAATTTAATTATTTACGCTACAATAAAATCTGTTACTCTTATTCTTGTATTTTATTATATTTAGAATTATCAGAACTTTTTCTTAAATATTACAGTATTTCAAATATATTTTATATCAAATTATATTAATTTTATGATTAATTTTATTTTTTTACTTTAACACTTTTTTGTTTAGAATTATTTTTATTTATAATACTATTTTTTTTACATTACAAATTTATTAAGTTTCAATAATATCTTTTTATGTTTTTTGTTGTTACTTTTCATTACATTTAAAATTATTACAAAATTTTTTTAAGGTGTAACAATACTTTTAACCATTTTACGTAAAATAATACTAATTTTATGATTATTCTCACTGTTTTATGTTAACTCTTAGTTTTTGTTTAAAATTATTTTTTATTTATAATAATAATTTTTTTATTATCAACTTAATTATTTACATTATAATAATATTTTTTTACGTTTGTTGTTACCTTTTATTATATTTAAGATTATCATAACTTTTTCTTAAAGGTGTCACAATATTTCTAACCATTTTACGCTAAATGATATTAATTTTATGATTACTCTCATATTTTTTTGTATTAACATTTATTTTTTGGTTTAGAATTATTATTTATTTATAATAATAATTTTTTTATGTTACCAAAAATATTATTTATGTTACAATAATATTTTTTTATACTTGTTCATACTTTTTATTATATTCATAATTACTATAACTTTTTGTTAAGACGTTATGACACTTTTAATTTAATTTATGTCAAATGACATTAATTTTATAATTATTGTTATCTTTTTACGTTACAACATTGTAACATTTTTTACACCAATTTATCCTCACTTTTTTATGTTAATACGTATTTTTTTGTTTAAAATTATTTTTTATTTATAATAATAATTTTTTTATGTCGTCAACTTATATTTATATTACAATAAAATTTTTTATGCTTGTTCTTATCTTTTATTATATTTAGAATTATCACAAGTTTTTTATAAGGTATTACAACACTTTTAATATATTTTACGTCAAATAATACTAATTTTATGATTATTCTCATATTTTTATGTTAACACTTATATTTTATTGAATTATTTTTTTATTTATGATACTAATTTTTTTATGTTACCAATTTATTATGTTTCAATAATATTTTTTTACATTTATTGTTATTTTTCATTATATTTAGAATTATTACAATTTTTTTCCTAAGGTGTAATGAAATTTCTAACTATTTTACATTAAATAATATCAATTTTATTATTATTCTTATTTTTTTACGTTAACTTTAACTTTTTATTTAAAATTAGTTTTTTATTTGTAACAATAGTTCTTTTATATTGCCAATTTAATTATTTATGTTCTAATAATATCTTTTTGCGCTTGTTGTTACCTTTCATTATGTTTAAAAGTATTACAATTTTTTTTTAAAGGTGTTACGACACTTCTAACTATTTTACGTCAAATAATATTAATTTTATGATTATTCTCATTTTTTTTATACTAGCACTTATTTTTTGTTTAAAATTATTATTTATTTATAATAATAGTTCTTTTATATTGCAAAAAATATTATTTATGTTATAATAATATTTTTTTACACCTGTTCTTGCTTTTTATTACATTTAAATTTATTACAACTATTTATTAAGGTGTTAGTCGTTCTAATTCAATTTATGCTAAGTGATATCAATTTTACAATTATTCTTACTTTTTTTACATTACGATATTTCTAACATACTTTTATGTCAAATGATTTCGATTTTATAATTCTTCTCACTTTTTTATGGAAATAATTTTTTTTTGTTTAAAATTATTTTTATTTATAATAATAAAATTTTTATGTTGTCAACTTAATTATTTATATTATAATAATATGTTTTTACACTTGTTAACTTTTATTACGTTTTGGATTATTATTACTTTTTCTTAAAAGAGTTATGATATTTCTAATCATTTTATGCTAAAAAATATCAAATTTGTGATTATTTTTATCTTTTTATATTAACGCTTATTTTTTAGTGGTAGACTATTTTTTATTTATAATACTAATTTTTTACATTATCAATTTAATTATTTATGTTTTAATAAATTTTTTTACACTTGTTACTTGTTATTACGATTATAATTATCATAATATTTTATTAAAGTGTAATAATACTTGAAACATTTTATATCAAATAATATTAATTTTTTAATTATTCTCACTTTTTTACATTAAATTTTATTTTTTGATTTAAAATTATTTTTTTATTTGTAATAATATTTCTTTTATATTATCAACTTAATTATTTTTATTACAATAATATATTTTTATGCCTATTGTTAATTTTTATTACGTTTATAACTATCATAACTCTTTGTTAGAGTGTAAGGATATTTTTAACTTATTTTATGTTAAATGACACTAATTTTACGATTATTCTTATATTTTTATGTTAATATTTATTTATTGATTTAGAATTATTTTTTTACGTTGTCAAACTTAATTATTTATGTTATAATAATATCTTTTTATGTTTGTATTTACTTTTATTACATTTAAAATTATAATAATTTTTTCTTAAAGTATTATGATACTTTTAACACATTTTATACTAAATGATATCAATTAAAATTTTTTAAATATTATACTATCTTATCATTTTTAAAAAAATTTTAAATAAATTGTATTTATCTGTTAAAATTTTTTTATTTTATTTAATAAATAATATTTAATATAATTAATTTAAATTAAATTAACAAGAAATTAATTATTTTTATAATTAAAAAAATTAATAATTTATATTAATTTTTTATATCTAATTATTATTATTCAATGTCAAAAAATTTAAACCTACTGTTCCTTGAAGTTCCCTTGGGAATAAATTTCACTGTTGGACGGCGAACAGCTAGTATAGAGTAGGTTTTTTGGTGAGTAAATTAGTGCGGGAAGCAATTGGACCATCTTCATGTTAAATCTTTTCCCCTAATTTCCCAAAAGCAATATTTGTGTTGGTGAAAATGGAAGCATTGGGCGGTAATGTTGCGTTCTGGGGTTGGAAACGTCCAGAGATAAGAAGTCCAAAAAGGCCGTTTTCATCAAAGTCGAAGTCCTCAGATTCAACGGCGGAGGCAACGGGCGGTTATCGTTTCCCGTTGAAGCAAGCGGTGACGGCTGCCTCGCTCGCTCTCACGGGCGACACCATCGCTCAACTGAGTGACCGCTGGAGAAAACAAAAACAGTCCCTTTCTGGTTCAAGTGATACATGTAAGGTCAGTTTCTAAATTTTATGTTTTAGTTATTTATCTTTTTTATAAAAAAATCATTTTGTTTGCTTGATGAGAAAGCTTGGGAGAGTTTGAGGTTGTCGGATTTTTTGAGGAGATTTAGGACGTAGGAGTCTCTAAAATTTGGTAAATTGTAGCGCTTTCGCATCTGGTTTTATTTATCTTGGTGGTGAACTTTCCTATTCTTTGGACCGGTAGATTTAGCGTTTATGTTATTAAGGCTTTGAGATTGTTAATATTACTACTCTTTTTTTTTTTTTTAATTCAAATTTCTTATCTGTTTGGTTGCCAAGAAAAAGTTGGGAAGTATTGTCAGAGTTCAATCAACATTTGGATTTAGGGAGAATAGAAATTTCAGGCGTATTAAACTTTTAATCATCTCAATTATTGAGGGACAATGTGTCTATGAAGTTGCTTGAATTGCCAGGTTTCTTATCCATATCTGTGTTGACCATAAAAGTATATGTACAAAACGGTTTTGTTATGATGAGGTTTAGGGAGTGGATTGGTATCAGTGCAAATAATGTTGGTGAGAGTATGCTGGCACCTTGCAGCAGCCTAAAGGTCTTTAAAAGTCATGCAGCATGCTAAGGCTGGTTCTATCGCCCAAGCCTTAGTTTGGCACTTATCATTTAGTAGTTCATTTTATGTATTATATTTATACTTCTTTAAGTTGAAGTTGTAGGTTCTTATTTTATTCTCTGCCTTCTTGAGTTTTAAGTGTTAGGAATCTTCGTATTTTTTTGAATTGCTGTAAATTGCGGATTGAGTCTTGCAGCTTATTTTCGGTTTTCTTAATGCCATTGGTTTTTGTTTCAACTTTTAAGTTATCTTCAAGTGTTTGTTAAAGTCCTTAGTGGGCTAGAGATGCTGTGAGTCTATATAAATCGATTTAGTTTTTCTATTGTGGTATAGCATTCTTGTCAAATAATTTCAAGCATTATTGTTCTTGTGACTGTATGATGCAACCTTTGATGTGACTCCTAAGAAAGCCTACTTAGTGAAGCTTGGTAATTTCTTCTATTCTCTTTTTTTTAGTGGATTTCTTCTGTTTTCTCTGAGAAGTTAGATCATAAACTTACCATAAGCCCTAATCGCTAGCTGCCTTACATCAACCGCAGTTAGAGAAGTTAGCCCATATTCTAAACACAGTTCTGGTATTGGCAGTTGACATTGTATGGCGATTTAGATGATCGGTTTCACTTACAGTGAAATGACTGCAGGAGGCTTGAGGTATAAGCTGATCCTTGGGGATATGGACTATAGATGGATCAAATTGTTCAAAGTGGGTCTATCTAACTTACCCCAAACAGCTGGGAATGGTGGTTTGGGGACCTTGGACCGCATATACATGTAACATCCTGTAATGATGTTTTCCCTCTTTTGGGGGCACCATTGGGGGCTGAAAGGGTGGGTGATTATTGATTGCATTTATGATGAATCATATTCTCTGTGTTATTTATATATATATATATATATTCTTATTTTTGACAAACCTTGTGCATCTTGCTAAGATGCTTTTTAAATGTATTGGCTTGAGTATTGCATTGTGTTACTATTTTTATGTTTTAACCTAATTTCTATCTTAGGATATCATGTCAAGCATCATTTCACACCATGATTGGCTTCGTGCCTTGAGGATGACTTCTTATGGGTTTCTTTTATATGGTCCTGGTTCATATGCATGGTATAAGTATCTGGATCACTGTTTGCCACATCAGACAGCACAAAACATAATGCTGAAGGTACAGTTGTTTCAATTTAATTGTTGTAGCTTTCATATTGCATTGAATGGAAAATAACTGAATAACTTTATTAGAACAAAACTTACAATATTTTAGTTCTTGCAGGTTTTACTAAACCAGATAGTGCTTGGTCCATGTGTGATTGCTGTTGTCTTTGCATGGAATAATTTATGGCTTGGAAAGCTCTCAGAGCTCCCAAATAAATATCAGAAGGATGCACTCCCAACACTATTTTATGGTAAAAGCCTCATTTGAAGCAATTTGCATATTGGCCTGATAAAGATATCTAGGTTCCATGTAATTTGATATTTATCTTTGATTCTTATGCAGGATTTAGGTTTTGGATCCCTGTCAGCATGTTGAATTTTTGGTAAATCTGTCTTTATTTGTATTATCTATTTATTTTACTTATCATTGACTCATTGAATATTGGTAGGAGAAACTTGATTAGTTCTTGAACAACTCCAATGCCTAAACTTAGAGTTTTGAATCCACCTGTTTCTTATGCTATTTCAGTTTACAATTACCTTTTAGATCATGGATTATTGGGATGGGTATTCGCCTTCTTTATATTCTCTCTCTTCTTTTCACCCTCTGTTTCTAATTCTCCATTTCTTCAACTTTTCTGCATATTTCTGTGTTTCTCTCCCTCTCACCTATTTCTTTCTTTCAAGTTACCTGTGCTATATTATTGTCTTATTAATTATGTTTTCACGTTTTCGTTGGTTATTTTGACACTCCATTTCTGATAATATTTCTTTGGTGCTAACCCCACACATTGTCTGAGAATAACTAGTTATTAATTGATTGGGTGCTTTTAGTGGGTTACAAACAATAACATGCTTGTGCAATCCATTTGGTGGTTAGCAGGGTGGTCCCTCTTCAAGCCCGTGTAGCTTTCATGTCCACAGGATCCATTTTTTGGAACTTTTTCTTGTCATCAACTATGAGCAAGTAGATTCAACTGCAGCAACAATTGATTTATTCATGTGACATCAGCTAATAAGATTCAAGCCTGAGGAATTTTAGTTCCTGCTCCCAGTTTACTTGCCTTGAGCTTATTGGTTCCCTTTATGGTTTACTTCTTTTTTCATTTATATGATAACTTATTGTTAAACTGAAATCTGGCTGAATTCAAGCCAAAAGCGATAGATGTGGGGATTGGAAGTCAGACTTTCTGCCATAACTTCACATTGTGACTTGGTTCACAGATTGCTTTGCTTATGTAAGATATTCAAGAAGTACTATGACTATCTACTTAGCAAATACAATGCCAGATATACTTAATTTGTTATGAACACAGTATCATGTGATTTACTGGCAATTTTGTGCCTTTCGTGTTATTACCCTCTTGTTGTTTAATTATTATTTTCCCTTTAAATGTTTCTTGAGAATGGATTACCGCTTGATCGTGGCAATGGAAATGAATTATCACCAGTCTTCTCATAGAACCGGAAATGATTTATTTCTTTTAGGTACTGTCTAAATTAATCTAATATCTTTATTTTGCTGCATTTGGATGAGTCCAAGAGGAAGGGGGATTTGAACTTGTTACATCTAAATTTCTTACGAATCTTGCTGACAAGAACAGATTCTGTTGAGCAAGGGCATAGGTTTGCAATTAATATTGCTCTAATGTTTTATTACGTTCTTTTCTGCCTTTCTAATAATTCTAGTCGTGTAAGAATTGAAGCCACTAAAATATCTGAGGACCTTCTCCGACTACATGGCATTATCTATCTAAAATTGCATTCATCGTTGCTTTTAAGGAGGGCATCAGGTTAAATCTCTGTATGCATACATTTCTCTTTGCTTATTGTTTTACGGAGAACTTGGTTTATATTTTAGGTGAAAAAGCCATTTCTCTAAGTGAAAGAGAAGTCCAACGGTGTGATATAAAACTCCATGGATGATAAGACAACGGTTCTAAATTTGCAGGGTAGAATTGTAGTTGGCGTCTGCTTAGCAAGAAGGCAGCAATCTTTAATATCAAGACGTTATCTAGCTTAGCCCCATGCTTTTTACAAGTAATGTTGATTTGTTTCTTAGTTACTTTATCATGTGTTTGACGCTTAATATGAGCCAATTACAATAAGGGCCCCTTGTAGACTTTAATACATGCTAGCCGGTGGACCCTGAATTTTTTTGTACGTAAAAGTTAAGGGTGAGGGCAGGTTTCTTCGTTTTAGGATTAGGATAGATTATAGATTTCAGAAAAAATTTATATTGAATTTGTATATAGCCTATCAAAAAAAAAAAATTATTGACAGCGAGATTCGAATGGTTTTAGAAGCGAAAATTGATATCTGGTTGGCATTGAAGAGAAGATTTGGGTATATCTTTTATTTGAATATCTAAAAATTTTCTCATCGTAGAAGGATAGGACCGGACAATGAAATGCCATTAACGTGCCAAAGAAAACGAATTATTATGTCCAGAAAGTTGTAATAGAACATGAACTAAACCTTACTTTTGATCAGCATTTGGAGCAGTTTCTCTGCTCCATAAAGCGGAAGTTGGATGAAATGTGATTCTGAGAGAAACAAGGTGACTTTTAGCTTACGTAAAAGCTGAAAATGAGCTTTGAGGGGCTAAAAAAGTTTGGTGAAACAGAGCTAAGAAAAAACAGTTGGGAACCAAGAATTGTTAGAAGAGTTTAAACCTTTCCAGAACTCTCTTCGGGCTAACCCGCCCCATTATTTAAGTCAAAGAAGGTCCAATAACAAATCAAGTGGCAACTTCTTACAGCAATATCATTTATATATAAAAATAATATCATTTATATATAAAAATGTGAATTTGAAATGTGTTAAATTAATAAATTTATTTTTAAATATATAACTTTTATTAATTTATTTAAGTTTAATTAAAATAAACTAAAATTAAAAATAGAGTTAATATGAAATTAAATTATTTAAAATTTTTATTTAAAAAATGTTAAAAAAATACTACATAAATAATTTTTTTTTATAAAATTTAATTTAAATGAATTTTCTTTTTTATTATTAGATTTTTTATAATTAAATTAAAAAAGTACTAAAAATTATTGACTAAAGTATTCTTAATAAAATTTTAATTCTAAAAATGTTAAAAGTAATCAATCAAAATACCATTAGTAAATTTTAAGAAAAAATATGGGAATAAAATAAGCGTAACTAAGATGAGGATACTTGGATGTGTGGTAAGACTAGAAGAAAAAAAATCAAAAATGAAAAGATTCAAGGAAAATTAAGGATAATCCAAATTGAGAAAAAAAAAAAATAAAAGAGAGCCATTTGAGATGGTTTAGATATATAAAATATAGGTTTATCTGTACACCAATTAGGAAATATGAGCTTTTAGATTTATAAAAGACCAAAACTTCTATAGATAGACCACGAAAGACGAGTAATTAAGTAATAAGAAATGATATAAGGGTTAAAGAAAGTATATGAAAAGGTTATTTGTAATAGAAATAAGTGGTACAAAAAAATTTAAAACTATGACTTAACATAAGTCCGTTTTTTACATTTCATATAGTCTACCTGAGTTATGAGATATAAGACTTAATTTATTATAACTTAAATGAAATTTTTTTTTTTATTTTAGACTCTTTTTATAATTAGACTTATATTGAGACACAAAATATTATTTTTCATAGCAAACAAAAAATACAAATAGAACGAGATCAAAACTTATTAGTATTTATAGGAATAAAACTATTATATGGAGTTTGTTTTTATAGTTTTTATAAAAAGAAATGGACATGTAGTTTACATTGATAAAAATAAATTCACTAAAGATATATAATCATAATTAAGTCATTAAAGCACCATTTTTTTTTGTCTTTCAATTTTTTATTTTAATTGATTTGCTAATTATATACGTATGTTAATGATTTTATTGTTTGTATGTTTTATGAGTTGATCATTTGATCATTGATAATATAATCAAATCCTTTTAGTCCATTGAAATAATATTTTAATATATATCATTATTATAGTTTACTCTAAACTTTATAATTAATATCTTTTTTATATTTTTCTCTAGAATTTTGTAATTGTTATTTATATGAACAAAAATTAATATAAAATCAAATGCAAATCAATTGCACACCCTTCACCAACAATTAGCACTATATGAGTCGTTGAACACTTTGAACATTTTAATTAGACTTCTTTCTTGTAGAATTAGATAATTCAAAAGGTAGTGGAGTTACTAATAATTTAGGAATGGGTCCATCCAAATTGTTAGAAAAATTGTTTACCTTAGCTAAAATTATAAGAAATTTAATTTTTTCTCAATTTTTATCTTACCAATAATTTACAACTAAATTATTACTAATTTATAACTAAATTATTACTAATTTAGTACTATGTTATTAGTGATTTAATACTATGTTATTAGTGATTTACAACTAAATTATCAATGATTTACTATTATATTATTATATATCACTATTATGTTGTCATTGATTTACTACTTAGTTTTTAATTATTTACCATAAAATTATCACATATTTACTACTAAATAATTTATGATTCATTACCATGTTATCACTTATTTATATTAAAGTATGTGTGATTTACAGTTAAGTTATCATTGATTAACTGATAACTTATCGACGATTTACTACCTATTTGTATATCCTCCACCAACAATTAGCACTATGTGATTCATTGAATATATTAATTGGACTTCCCACTTATAGAATTAGATGATTTAGAGGGTAGTGAAACTATCACTAGCTCAAAAATGAATTTTGCTAAATTGCCATTGTAGACACCCAATTGGGTCCAGACCCAGATCAATCGTGCCTGGCCCAAATGGGTAAGCCCAATTCAATTTTATCTTGTATTTTTTTTTCTTCTTCTTTTGTATTTTATGTATTGCATTATTTATTATTATTATTATGTATTAATATATGTATATATTTATTTATTTATTTTTTAATATTTATGTGTATTTTATTATTTATGTATTATTACTAATATGTATATATATATATTTTTTATCTTTTTTATTTTATTTATTTTTGTATTTTTACTTATCTAATTATATATTTGATTTTTTTTATTATTATTTTTATCCTATAATATCTTCTGATTTATCTTTTCTAATTATCTAATTTTTTTTATTTTTATTTTGGAGGGCTAGGATTGAAAGTTGAAGAATCCCATTGGGAGTGGGAATTCAATCAGAAGAGTCCAGACTGGATTCAAAGATTGAATTCCCGTCCAAAGGGGAATTGGGATTGATCAGAAACTCCTGATCAATCCCTATATAAAGGACCCTTGTGGTAGACTGAAACACACAGAAAATAGTGAGCAAAGCTACTGATTTGAGAGAAAAGGAGGCGTATAGGAAGTTAAAAAAGGGTTTAGGAGTGTTCTGGGAGCTAAAAGAAATTTTTTGAAGATTTTTCAAATTTTTTTTTCTGGGAATTTCTGGAAATTCCAGTTTCCGATTGACTTTTCCGGCGAAACTTGAATTTTCCGGCCAAATCTCCGGCCAACCTTGAAGTTTCTGGCGACCTGCCCAGTTTCCGGCGAAGAATCTCAGAAACCGGCGAATAATCCCAGAAACCGACGAACTTCCGGCCAACTTCCGGCTAAATTTCCAGATTTCGATGACTTTTTCCAGAATCCGGCACCGGTGTTCTTCAGTTTCTAGAGAGAAGGGAGAGAAAAAGGAAGAAGAGAGAGAGAGGGGGAGGAGCGTTCTGTCGAAAAATGAAGGAAGGTGCCTTTTATACCCTCTCAAAACGACGTCGTTTTGGCTTTAAGTTAACCAGGGGATCCGCGCGTTTTGCCGAACCCGATCCGACCCGAGCGTCGACCCGCTTTCCTGACCCGCGCATACTCCCCCTCCCCAAGTCGAGCCGAGCCGAGCCAAACCTCCAAGCCGCTCCCCTGAGCCGTTTTTTCTTCCTTGAGCCGAACCGAGCCGCGCCGATAGCCGAACCGCTCAAGTTTTTTTTTTTTTTGAAAATTTTTTTTATTTGTTTTTTTATTTATTATTATTTTTATTTATTAGATTATGTTTATTTAATATTCTTTTTATCTTTATTTTATTTTTATTTTTGTTTTACTTTTCTTTTTTTATTTTTTTTATTATTTTATTTTTCTTTAAATAAAAAAAATCAAAAATTTCAAAAAAAAATATTTTTAGGGAAAAGTTGAAAGTATCAATTTTCCTTAGAAATAAATTTCCAAAAAATATTTTTGGGGAAAAGTTGAAAGTATCAATTTTCCTTGAAAATCAAAATTTCAAAAAAAATATTTTTGGGAAAAAGTTGAAAGTATCAATTTTTCTTAGAAATAAATTTTCAAAAAAAGGGTTTTTGAGGAAAAGTTGAAAGTATCAATTTTCCTTGAAAATTGAAATTTCCAAAAAATATTTTTGAGAAAAGTTGAAAGTATCAATTTTCCCTACAAAAAAAAATCATTCTTTCCTTCCTTTCTATCTTAATTTTGATTTTGTTTTTTTCTTTTAAATAATCCGACGACGGAGCCTCTGTAAGTGAAACAATAGTTTTTCTTGCATACTCTTGAGGTGAGGGAATTTTCTCAATTTTCTGCTACAAGTATTAGAGTCGATTGAGAAAAATTTCTAATAATTAATTACTTGGTAAAATTTTAAGGCTTTTGGATAACACAAATTTAAGCTGGTACCATCTTTTGATGGGCGTTGTGAGGGTGCTATAACCTTCC